AATTCTGAACTAAACAATAATCATGGAAGAAAAAGATGAAGCTGTCAAAACATAAAAGCTGCTGGCCCCAAGGGAGCTACTTCTCAGTCATGTTTGTTCAGATCTTAACGAAAAGATACTTTCTTGGCTATTTAAACCCCTTTTGATCTTATAAACAGACATAAAGCTTCCTTATTAATATTAGAAAGCTAGAATAATCCTGATACCTAACTCTAATAGAAATAACACACAAAGGGAAAAAACAAAACCCATTGCATGCTCATTTGTAAGTGTTAATTCACAAATCCTAAATAAAATAGAAAATTTAGTTCAGCACTATAAATTTCAGAAATTCAATGATTAATATTGGAATTTCTAGTAATATCCTCAATTAGCTGAACATATCTCAAATGTCTGGTGGAATAAGAAAAAGGGGGTATAGCTGAATTAAACAAAGTCAGAGAAATTTCCAGCCCACAAGTATCCTCACAGCCTTAATTTGTTCATATACAAGGAGAAATTGTTTTCACTCTTTCCAAACTTGGTTGAACATAAAACCTTTTTTCTTTCTTTCTTTCTTTTAGATTTTTATTTTGTTAAGTAATCTTTACACCCAATGGGGGCTTGAACTCACAACCCCGAGTGAGAATCGCATGCTCCACTGAATGAGCCAGCCAGCCGCCCCCATAAAACCTTTTTTAATACTAGAAATAATGTACTTTACAACTCAGTTTGAGAGATGTTGAACAATGTCAATAGATGAAAGGGGGAAAGCCAGGTGATCATTTTGATAGATGTTAAAACAGCAAATGACAAAAAAAGGGAAATAAGCACATTTACATATTTAAGAACGCTTGGAAATTCTAACAGGAGTACTGGTGCAAAAAAAGAAGTAACAGAAGCAAATACAAAAAGGAAAAGAATATATAGTATTAGTTTATAATGACTGGTTATCAGGAAAATAACTCAAAAAAGTCAACCAATAAATGTTGTAAAATCATGAAAATGTTCAATAAGGTACTCAGCAAAGAATAAAAAGTATATTAACAAAAAATAAACTATTAGGAAATAGATGGAAAAATATCCCATATTCAATGACCACAAGATATAGGAATTAAATAGGGAAAGAGTAAAATTATCATGGACTTATTTGAACAAGTGATTCAACTCTGATGAAGGACCTAAATGAAGACTTGGATAGCTAGAGAGGCAACATGAATCTGACAAAAAGAAAATCAAGTTATGTAAAGAAATGCAATACAAGAAAAGCGAGTAGAGTTGAGACATTTGGCTAAGTGTTTGGGGAGAAAGGAAACAATTAGAGCTCCACTTCATATATTACATAAATATAAATTCCATGTGGATAAAAAATCTGATTTCCAGCATAAATCATGTAATATTCATATAATCATGCAGTGGGGGATGCCTTTCTAAGCCTAATGCCAGAAGCAGAACCCATCGAGGGAAAGATTGATAGATTCTGTTATCAAAATGTTGGAAAAATTTTTGCTATAGCTTCTATGCAATGAAATATCCATGAACATAATTTACCAACAACCAAAAAGTATTTTCAATATAAACTACAAAGGGTAACTATGTTTGATATGGGATCAGATAAGGAAAGAATTAATACAATAAATGCCAAAGAGTTTTTAACATACAATTTGGAAGAAAAGAAAAAATTAATCAATTGATACATGAAAATGGCTTAACTTTGTTATTAAGCAAAGGAATACAAATTGGCAGTGAGTTACCCTGCTTTACCTATAAAACTGTCAATTGTTTAAAAATCTGAATGATCCTCAGTGGTTGAGGTGATGTAGGGCACTGACACATTACACCCACTAGGAGAAAGACTGGAACTGTTCTAAAGTGGAAAGTTTAGCAACATATATACCAACATCTTTAAATACCTTAAATGCCTCTGGGAATGTTTTATTCCATGGGAATTTTTAGAGATCTAAAATCTAAAGTTTTGGGGGTGCCTGGGTGGCTTAGTCAGTTAAGCGTTCGACTTCGACTCAGGTCATGATTTCACAGTTTTGTGGGTTTGAGGCCTGTGTCGGGCTCTGTGCTGATAGCTCAGAGCTTGGAGCCTGCTTCAGATTCTTTATCTCCCTCTCTCTCTACCACTCCATGCTTGTGCTTTGTCTTTCTCTGTCTCTCAAAAACAAATAAATGTTTAAAAAACTGTTTTTAAATAAAATCTAAAGCTTTTAGTGAAAAGTTTAGCTATGAAAATTTTATCATGGTACTGTCATTTGAGTGAAATTTGGACAAGCATAAATGTTCACAATAGGAATTTACTTAAATAAATAAATTGTACAAAAATAATTTCTTCCATTATTATTAATTATGCTATGCATGAAATTTTTTGATATGGAAATACTCTCCTGGTGTATTAAAAGGAACATACAGATTAAGATACATTAAACAGAGATTGACTGGGGCGCCTGGGTGGCGCAGTCGGTTAAGCGTCCGACTTCAGCCAGGTCACGATCTCGCGGTCCGTGAGTTCGAGCCCCGCGTCGGGCTCTGGGCTGATGGCTCAGAGCCTGGAGCCTGTTTCCGATTCTGTGTCTCCCTCTCTCTCTGCCCCTCCCCTGTTCGTGCTCTGTCTCTCTCTGTCCCAAAAATAAATAAACGTTGAAAAAAAAAATTAAAAAAAAAAAAATAAAAAAAAATAAAAAAATAAAAAAAAACAGAGATTGACAAACAGAGACCAAGAACAAGATGGAGAGACTCACAGGGACGACTCAGATGAATACACACTAAGCTGCAAAGTATAGTTATGTGAAGGGATTTGGGGTGTGTTTTATTTGTGTTTTTAATTATCTGAAAAAATTTTTTACAATAATACGCAATGTTTCTAACAACAAAAAGAAATAAAATGTACTACTTCAATTGTGAATAATATTACACCAAAATATTAACAATAGATACAACGAGAGGACTGTGGGGGGCCTTTCACTTATATTTGCACTTATAAGCCTTTCTGTATTTTCATTTAATGGACAGGTATAACTTATGCAATCTGGGGGAAAAAAACAATGCTATTTTTTTAAAAAAAGCAACACAGAGAGATGCTCTCTGTTGCCCTCATAATACAAATCCAAAGTACATTCGAAGGTGTATAATTTTCTTCATGATTTGGCCCTTGCTTACCACAGGTCAGCTCTCTTACTATATCCTTTACTGCAGTCTACGGCTGGACAGATCGACTTTCAGTTCCCTACAAACAGCAAAGCTCATTCTTTCCTCGGGCATTTGCTCCTGCCCACACACCCCTTCTGGCAACTTCTCAACAACCCCTTTACTGGAAAACCTCCCTCACCCATCACAAGCTGCCTGGTGGGTCAGGTGCCTCGTGCACAACTACATCATTTCATGATTCCCATATCACTTTCTGTTTTCTTGTCTTTCCCCACTCACTAGGTTTTCTAAGTTCCTATGAGGAAAGCCTTAATGAGTGATCAATTATTGTTGTCAAAAGAGGTAATGAAATAAGAGAATGAATGAACCAGCCTCCATGTAGCAGATGCTGCCATGGGCATCTCATTTATTTTCTCTCATTGAATACTAACCAAGATTTCATGAGGTAGGCATTATCATGTTCCTTTTCCAGTTAAAGAGACCAAAGTCCAAAGGATTTATTGGATCGCCCTCAGCAGCCCCCAGCACATAGTAAATGCTAATAATTACAGAATAAAAGAACACGCATAGTCTAGGGTAATTTCTCTAAAGGCAAAACTCAAGGAAGAATTGAGCTTATTATCTGGATAACTAAAACAACAAGTGCTTTGTTATGAGGATGAGATTGAGAGTAGAAATGGGAATAGGTTGTTTATTTTACTTTTTCTTTTGGTCCTGAATTATTTTAGGTGGCTACATAGAGTGGCTGAATTCATCTGCATTGAAACCCCTTGAGAATTTTTATAGGTTGAACCAAAACAGAATAATGAAATGAACCCTCCTAGGCAGGAATGCAGAAGCAGACATGAAAGATGATTTCTCTGAATTATTTGGCCTTTATAGAAAGAACCATGATGAGTTTCTAGAAAATGCATTATTGATGTGATGTAATAAGGTGAGCTTTCTTTTTTTTTTTTCTTTTTTTGTTTCAAATAATGTCTTATTTTATATTAACCACGGTATGAAACATTGCCACTAAAGGTTGTTTTCGGCACAAGTGAATTGTATCTGATTTTATACCCTGCCTTTTCCATCTATCTTAATAGCTCTTATGTTTGTGAATGAGGTTTTATTCTGTCATTATTCGATTTCTAGTTCAGCATGGATTCAATGGATTCAAGAGATTTTTCTTTCCCAAATCATACCCTTTGTTCCCTACATCGAGTTTTCTGATTTTTGGGTGGTTCCTGGTCAGTTCATGCTTACGCCCATATTTCATTTATTTTCATTTCCTTCTACATAAAAATAACACTCTTTAATTGTGCTATAGTTGAGAAAATAGATATTTCAAAATAATTAAATATTTTGATTTTAAAAGGGCAGCTTCTACTTAGTGTCTTGAAAAATATTGAAATCCACAGCCCTGTTCTCTTATTTTATATAAAAATCCCACATGCATGCAAGATTGTTACAGGAGCACCAAACAAACTCAAAATCCACATAAAGGGAGAATGGTTAACTAGGACTTGGTATGAAATTTGCAAATTTGAATTATGCAAATATTAATGTTCTTTCCATTTGAGTCTTCTCACTATCATCCAATAATGATTTGTTTCTTGTCTATTTAACATTCAGTTGGTTCTAACTTTAAATGCATACTGAGCAAATGTCCACTTTCTTCCTTTCTGCAACAGAACGTCTCTTGTGTGCCAGGCATTGTGCTAGGCACAGTCTCCATTCTCTTGGAGCTTGTAGTGTAGAAGGAAGATAGATGAAGTCACACTAATGAATGTATAAGTACAAATCAAGACGAGTGCCCTAAAGAAAAAAAGTGTGGTCACAGGAACTCCTCTGTGGTGTGTCAGTCAAGTGGCACACCCGCCAGACCTTTAAACTGTGGTCTCTGGTAAGTCTGCAGCATTCCTGGGCTGCCTGTGATTACACCGAAACATATTCCCTGCTAAAGACTTGAGATGAAAACCTTGCTAGACCTGACCTGGCCTGAATTTTAAAATTCAGTTAGAAAGTCTCCTGCTTCTACTGTTAACACTGCAACACATTATATTTTCGGGTTTGAAATGAGAAGTTTCATCTTGGAGGTGGCTGCCCACCTGCCAAGGCTCCATTTAGAATGTGTGGTTCAAAGTGTTTGAGTATCCACAGCAAAGGAGGGCATGGGACAAGCTCCAGAGAAAAAAACATTGGGTGTGTGACAATGTGGCAGCATACAGGGACTTCAGCAACAACACACAATGTTCCCTGGACAACTCTGTCCTGTTTCACCATTGCTCACAAATAAACTCCCCCTTACACACACACACACACACACACACACACACACACACACACACACACCCCTTCACATCAAATGCATACACTTAAGACACAGATCCCACATGCATGCAAGATTGTTACAGGAGCACCAGGGAAGGAACTGAATGAATAAAATGAGAAATTGGCCTTTTGTCAAATATGTGTGGTCAAGGTAGATGTTGTTCTTGGGAATTATTGATTGGGTTTAAGGTTTAGTGAGTTCACATCAGGTACTTGCTGACTTCACATTGGACAAGTATCATCTTACTAAACTGCGGAAAAATGAGACTCAGAAAATTCAGGCACTTGTCCAAGGTCACTTCACTTCTAACTGGCAGATTAAATTTAAACTCGCTTGTTCAGAGTTCTCTTTCCACCATCATTTTAGGAAAAAGATGTTGAAATTGAAAACATGATGAAAAATGCAGAGTTTATCCAGCAATCTCTGGAAAGGCTCATAGAAGGGATCCTGGGTGGGGGCGCCTGGGTGGCTCAGTCGGTTGGGCGTCTGACTTCGGCTCAGGTCATGATCTCGTGGTCCGTGAGTTCGAGCCCCGCGTCGGGCTCTGTGCTGACTGCTCAGAGCCTGGAGCCTGTTTCGGATTCTGTGTCTCCCTCTCTCTCTGCCCCTCCCCTGTTCATGCTCTGTCTCTCTCTGTCTCAAAAACAAATAAACGTTAAAAATTAAAAAAAAAAAAAAAAAAAAAAAAAAAAGAAGGGATCCTGGGTGAGGAACAAGAAAGATCCTATGTCCTGGTCACCAACATAACAGGAGCCAGGAAAGCCTTCCTTCTTCAGAGAGAACCAGTAATTTCTAGGGGAAAACACAAGGCCTTTACAAAGCCAAAGTCATGATCCATGAAAGAAATAATTGATAAGGTGGACTTCATTAAAATTAACTATGCTCAGTGAAAGACACTGTCAAGAAAATGAGAGAACAAGCCACAGGCTGGGAAAAAATATTTTCAAAAGACTCATCTGTTAAAGGACTGCTATCCTAAGTATACACACAATTTTTAACACAATAATAAGGAAACAGGGGCGCCTGGGTGGCTCAGTAGGTTAAGCGTCCGACCTCGGCTCAGGTCATGATCTCGCGGTCCGTGAGTTTGAGCCCCGCGTCGGGCTCTGTGCTGACAGCTCAGAGCCTGGAGCCTGTGTCAGATTCTGTGTCTCCCTCTCTCTCTGCCCCTCCCCCGTTCATGCTCTGTCTTTCTCTGTCTCAAAAATAAATAAACGTTTAAAAAAAATTTTTTTAATAAAAAAATTAAAAAAAGAAACAAACAACTCAGTTAAAAAAATGGGTCAAATACTTTAACAGACATCTCACCAAAGAAGATACACAGATGGGAAAATAAGTATATGGAAAGAAGTTCTACATCATGTATCATCAAGGAAATGTAAACTAAAACAACAATGAGACACTTATTATATACCAATTAGAATGGCCAAAATCCAGAACACAGCCCGGATCAAAAGCTAGTGAGGATGTGCAGCAAAACAGGACTCTCATCCATTGCTGGTGGGAATGCAAAATGGTGGGGCCGCATTAGAAGACAGTTAGGTGGTAACTTACAAAACTCTGTCCACTCCTACCATAAAATACCAGCAATGGCACTCCTTGGTATTTACCCAAAGGAGCTGAAAAGTTAGGTCTGTACAAAAATCTGCACACAGATGTTCATAGAAGGTTTATTGATAATTGCCAAAACTTGGAAGCAACCAAGATTTACTTTGCTAGGTGAATAAATAAAAAAAAACTGGTACATCCAGACAATGGAATATTATTCAGTGCTAAAAAGGAGCTATCAAGCTATGAGAAGACATGGAGGAAATTTAATGCATATTACTAAGTGAAATAAGCCAATCTGAAGACTATATGCTGTATGACTCCAACTATGACATTCTGGAAAAGGCAAAACTATGGAGATAGTAAAAATATCAGTGTTTGCTAGGGGTTGGGGGAGGGGGAAATGACTAGGCTGGGCACAGAGGCCGTATCTGAATGATACTATAATGATGGGTATATGTCGTTACACATTCGTCTAAACACACAGAATATACACCAAGTAGGAACCCTAATATAATCTATGGATTTTGGCTGATTGTGATGTATCACTGTAGGTTCATTGATTGTAACAAATGTGCCACTCTGGTGGAAGATGTTGATGGTAAGGGAAGCTGTGTATGTGTGTGGGTGGGATATCTGTGCCTTCTAAATTCTTCTGTGAACCTAAAACTGCTCAGAAAAAAACAATAAAGTCTTTTAAAAATAAAATAAAAAACCAGGCCTGTATTATATTTCACTTTATCCAGGTTTCCAGTTGATAATCTCTGATCTAGAATCCAGTTGGATGAGTGATGATTTCATTGTTTTTTTCTCAAAGATATCCTTAATGGTCTGCTCCTTTGTTCTCCCACTTCTTTTCTAGTTTTTATCCTGATTTCGATAATAATGTGAGTTACATGTTTGACAAACATTAGTTTATTATCTTGATTCTTCTGTTGCTAAATGCATATTGTGATCGATAGTATGACTTAGCATTTGTGGAAAAGGGAAACTTGCAGGAACTTGTAGGAAAGAAATATGTAAATACTTACTGGTTTCCAAGCAATTTACATAGTATAGAGAGCATTTAATCATTACTACAGCACCATAAGTCAATGTTATTATGACCATTTTACAAATGGATAAACAAAGACTCAAAATCAAGTTCCTATAGCTCACGTACCCACATACTATTTGGCATGCAGTAATTGCACCGTAACATCGAAATCTGCAACAATAAGGAGAGGGTGGTATATAATGATGTTAGCAGTGCCTTGAAATAACACAATGAGGGTCTCAGTTTGGGGTTGGAAGTTAATCTTCCTGCTCTTGTTACCAGAGCATGTGGAACACTAATCCTGCAAGAGGACACAGCTGGCAGTGCCACCACACGCAGCAGAAGCAGGGGCAAGGGGCAGCAGCATTACGCAATAGCTAAGGCCTATGGAAAGGCAAGTAGGGGATATTCCTCCATGATGAGGCACAGAAAGAAATGGATCTGATTCCCCCAGAACGAGGCCATTAGGCTTGTTGGTTAAGGGTTATTACTAGTTACACAGTAAGTGAGGTCTGGATATTTATATCAAAACCTCTTGCATATCCTTTAGAACTAATCAAATATAACCATAGTTATTACATCAACTTGTACAGGGTTCTCATCACAGAATAGGGACTAACTCTTTCTATCTTCAAATTTGAGTATCATCTTCATAAGGGTCTAAATTAAAGCATCCCGTGCAGGTGTTTTGCTTGTTTGTTGTTTGTTTTTGTTTTGTTTTGTTTTACCTCTCAAGGGTGCTCAAACAGCAAAAGATGCCACTAGATGGCCACTGAGAACAGATCCTTGATTCGTTCACCATGATGATTGGGTACAAATGGCAGTTAAGAATTGGGGCAAGGTTGGTGCGCCTGGGTGGCTCAGTCAGTTGAGCGTCCGACTTTGGCTCAGGTCATGATCTCACAGCTCGTGGGTTTGAGCCCCGTGTCGGGCTCTGTGCTGACAGCTCGGAGCCTGGAGCCTGCTTCGGATTCTGTGTCTCCCTCTCTCTCTGCCCCTCCCTTGCTCATGCTCTGTCTCCCTCTGTCTCTCAGTAATGAATAAACTTAAAAAAAAATAAGAAAAAAAAAGAATTGGGGCAAGGTTGAATTGCTCTGCCTAATAAGTAGGAAGTTATTGTAATGGAAAGAGAAGAGGAGGGAAGAAGAGAGGCAGTGGATGAAGGGAGAAGGGAGAAGAGAGGCTGGTGTCCAGGGACTATTTTGCCAGGAGGTAATTTTAAAGGACAGGAATGTCTAACAGGAGGTTTTAAAGTTATTTTCGGCGGAACATCTGACGTGAACACCCTCCTCTGCCCCCTAAGGACTCTCCCGTCTTCTGCATCATTCCCCAATGCTTTTCCAGCAGTGGATTCTTAGCAGAGAATCAGCCAAGTGCTGGGCATCTGAGCGGAGCTGAGATGCTGATGTTCCATAGGAGGAAGAGGGGCAAGAAGTAGCAGAAAAACAGAGAAAAGATAGAAGGAAAGAAAATGTGTGGCGGAGGGGGCAGCCCAGTCCTCAGACGTGTTTAATTTCTCTTTGAATGTGCAGAGTTTGGGATTGGAACCAAAGTCTCCCTGACCTCCAAGCCCTGCATGGTCTACTCAAATATAAGCATACAACCGAATCCCTATTTCTAAAAGTCAGCCCACCACATAAACTCAGTCCCTGCTGGTTTGCAAGAAGCAGAGGACATTTTAATGGTTCCCATGACACAGTGAAAACACCCAGAAACTGCCAGAAAGTCTTTCACAGCCTCCCACCAAACAGCTCCAGACTATTGTCTGCTCTTACTTTCCCCTTCCAGGAACAGCTGTAGTCTGCAGCAGTTCAGGCTGTCAGCGGTCTCCCTCTGGGCTTCCCTTTTGCTCCCCTTTTCCACCCACGCAAGTCCTTTGTGCTCCTCACATCCCTGCTCACATCATCCTACCCCCTTCAAGAGGGCTTCCCAATTCCCTTCCCGATTCTGCTCAGTTTTCCACAATTCTGTCCCCTGTCTCATGTCT